TCCTTCATGATATCCTTCTTTAGGGACTGGTCTCTTCTGACAACATGACCAAAGTACATGTGTGGTGGTTAAGGTTGTGTGTCAACTTGGCTGGGCTTGGTTGAGTGGCTGGGCAGCCACCCATGATGAGACTGGCAATCATCTCCATGGTGGGATCTACACAAGCAGCTAAGTAACTGCTTTAGGGATGTAGTCTGTTTCCTGTATATAAGAAGCAACTTTGGGAATGATCTCTAGCCTTCTGGCACACTTAAACCCTAAATGTAGCCAAGTTGTTGTTTAACAGCCTGCCATGTCTTGCCGATCCCGGGACTTCATCTGGAGTTGAATTAGTGGCCTGTCATGTTGTTTGGTAACATTGAGACTGTGCCTTTTTACTTGTCACCTTGGGCTTGTCAGCATCAGCATCCAGCAGCTATCTGAGTGAAGAAAAGCCTCCAGTTTCACTGGGCCGGGAGCAAGAGGCAGAGCTGAAGCCCAAGGCTGAGGGGCTTTCACCCAGCCCCTGGAGCCTGGCATTTTGAACTTGGACTTAAAGCCTCCAAAATTGTAAGAGAATACACTCTTATTTGTTCAAGCCATTGCATTTGTGGTATATTCCTGTCCAAGGGTACTAGGTAACCAGGACAACATGAGATCAAGTCTGGCCAGTCTCCCTCCAAGGAGCATTCTGGCTATACATCTTCTGAGACATATTTGTTCGTTCTTCAGGTAGTCCATGATATTTTCAAAATTCCTCACAAACACCTCAATTCAATTGCATCAGTTCTTCTTGGCTCTTCCTTATTCATTGTCCAGCTTTCACATGCTATGTTGTTGTTGTTGTTGTGTGCCATCAAGTCGGACCCGACTCATAGCAACCCCTCCTTGGGTTTCCGAGGCAATATCACTACAGAAGTAGATTGCCCAACCTTCCTTTCGAGGAGCGGCTGGTGGGTTTGAACAGCCAGCCTTCTGATTAATAGTCAGGTGCCTTAGGCACTACCTATCAGAGTTCCTACATGCATATGAGGTGTTTGAAAATACCATGACTTGGGTCAGGCCCACCTTAGTCTTCAAAGTGATATGTTTGCTCTTTCACACTTGCCCAATGCAATACCTCGTTTGAACTCCTGACTGTTGCTTCCATGGGTGTTGATTGTGGTCCAAGTAAAATGAAATCTTTGACAACTTAAGTCTTTTCTCCATTTATTGTGATGCTGCTTATTGGTCCATTTGTGAGGATTTTCATTTTCTTTATGTTGAGATGTTATCCTGCGGTGTAGTAAATTACTTAGTGTGGCTTTTCTATCCATAAGTCTTTGTAAACTCCAAGGTGGGATTTTCTATGAGCAACTGAGGAGCTCCTGATTGCTGAAGTTGTCCACCTGAAGTATTTCTGTTGGGCGTGGCACAAAACAATGTTCTGGGAGGTGTCCACTCTCTCTCAGGTGCTTAGAGTTCTGATGCTATGATTGGCTAGTTTGACCACCCTGCCAGGCTCAAAAGGAGGCCTCCTAGAGGCAGAACTCTCTCTGACTGCTGATTGAGGAAGATGTGCTGCTGAAAGAGACGCTGGCTCCTGAGACACGAGTTGCTGGGAATGAGACACAAGAGACATACATTGCTGAGTGAGACACCGAGGGACCAGCACTTTTGGGAAAGAGACTGTGAGAGACTGTTGGCTGAGGGACGGTGGGCTGGGAGAGAGACTGAGCATTTTTCCTGAACTTGAGTTGTAGCCTGGTGCTTCCCTAATAAATCCTATAACCTGTGAGTTCTGTGTGGCCACTGCAGCGAATTATTGAACCCAGGAGAGAGGTGGTGGGTGCTTTGGGAGGAACAGTTGGTGAACGGGCTGGAGGGAGGCAGCATGTCTGGCCTTGCAGTGATAGGCCTTGGGTTACTGCTGGTAATCCTGTCTTCCACTTGTGGGATTAGAGGAGGTCAGAACATGTGGCCTCCTTGCCATTTTTGCATATCCATACTGCAGATTGTAGTCTTTATTCATCATCAGTAAGTGTTTCAAGTCATCTTCACTTTGAGCAAGCAAGGTTGTGTTATTTGCATGTCGCAGGTTGCTAATGAGTCTTCCTCCAATCTGGATGCCACATTCTTCTTCATATAGTCCAACTTCTCATATTATTTGCTCAGCATACAAATTGACTAAGTATGGTGAAAGGATAACCCTGATGTACACTTTTCCTGATTTTAAACCATGCAGTATCCCCTTGTTCTGTTTGAATGACTGTTGCTGGGTCAATGTACAGGTTCCTCATGAGCACAATTAAATATTCTGGAATTCCCATTCTTTCATCATTATCCATACTTTGTTATGATCCACACAGTTGAATGCCTTTGCATAATCAGTAAAACGCAGGTAAACATCATTCTGGTATTCTTTGCTTTCATCCAAGATCCATCTGACATCAGCAATGATATCTTTCATTCCTTCTTCCCTTCTGAATCTGGCTTGAATTTCTGGTGTTTCCCTGTCAATATACTGCTGCAGTTTCTTTGAGTTATCTTCAGGAAAATTTTACTTGTGTGTGATATTAATGATACTGTGTGATAATTTCTACATTCTGTTGGATCCTCTTTCTTTGGAATGGGCACAAATAAGGATCTCTTCCATTTGGTTGGCCAGGTAGCTATCTTCCAGATTTCTTGGTGTAAATGTGTAAACTCCTCCTCTGTAGCATTTGTTTGTTGAAACATCTCAGTGAGTGTTCCCTCAGTTCCTGGAGCCTTGTTTCTTGCCATTTCCTCAGTGCAGCTTAGGCTTCTTCCTTCTGTAACAATGCTTCTTGATAATATGCTGCCTCCTGAAATGGTTAAGCGTAGAGCAATTCTTTTTGGTATAGTGACTCTGTATATTCCTTCTGTCTTCCTGCATTGTTCAATATTTTGCCCGTAGAATCCTTCAACATTGCAACTCAAGACTTGGATTTTTTTCTTCAGTTCTTTCAGCTTGAGAAATGCCAATTGTGTTCTTTCTGTGCCAACTAGGAAATGTACCCTATAGAAGGACCGCAGTGAAAATTGAAAAAACTGTGGCAGGCATTAAAAATGACCATGGAACATAGTAATGATCAATAAATTTTTCTGTGACAAGAAGGGAGGCATTTAGTGTGGTGGAGTCATAATATCTGAGTTCAGATCCTTCCTCTGCCAATTACTAGATGCAATAACTTTGAACAGCTTAATTAACCATTCTTTAAGGCCTTGTTTCCTCAGTTGTAAAATAGAGATGATAAAAATGAACATTTACTTCAGACAGCTATTGTTTGGATTAAATGAGATAATTCAGGTAAAGTGCTTAGCACTGTATGTAGCACACCAGTGTTGTTGTTAGGTGCTGTGGTTGTCAGTTTTCTACTCATAGTGACCCTATGTAAGAGTAGAACTGCCCCATAGGGTTTTCTAGGCTATAATCTTTATGGGAGCCGATGACCAGGTCTTTCTCCTGTGGAACCAGTGGGTGGATTTGAATTACCAGCCTTTCAGTTTGCAGCCCAGTGCTTAACTATTGCACCACCAAGGGTCGTAAGCACATCAGTAGAGCTTTTCTGTTATAATGATGATAATTGTGTTAGAAGGACATTTGCCTTAAGTGATCTCTCATGGAATGTAAATGTCCTATGTAAATCTCCTATGTAGAATAAAATAAAGAGAATCCATCTGCCCCCCAACCCCTGCCACCTTTATTTTTGCTTTTAGTTCCTTCACATTGCCTCAGGTAGTTTATGTTTCAGCTTCCATTCTCTAGTCTTCAGACTTATAAATAAATAAAGTATGGTAAGTTATTTACATGCATTCTGTTATTTAATCCTTTAAACAAACAACCCTGTGAGGTAAATCATATCCCTCCTTCACTGATGGAGATTGAGCTTAAGGGCAACTAAAAGAAACTTGCCACAGCTAGCAGATAATAGAAGTGAAATTCCAGTTTAAATCTTTCTGGTTTAAAATAATATTTTAAAGATTATTTCTACTATATTCAGTCAGAAAATATTCATGCAAAAAACATCAAAAACTTCTCTTGTTATTTTTTTAATATTACGGAAAGCAAAAGGGATGTACAAATTGCCTATAATCCAAAGATAGTTATCCTGTCAAGATTTTAGGAGAGATTTACTACCCTCTTTACCTATTCCTTTACCCCAAAAGAAACAAAAATTAAAATCAGAGAATTATAATCAGACAGTAGGCCCAAGCTCCATAACCTGTGGCTAGAACTAAGAATTAATTGATGATGATTCAATTTCCAAAACATTTATTGAGTCCAACCTCCTGTCATTGAGTCAATTCCGACAAATAATGACCCTATAGGGCAGAGTGGAACTGCCCCAAGAATAGAACTGCCCCAAACTGTTTCCAACATTGTAAATCTTTACAGAAGCAGACTTCCTTGTCTTTCTACCATGGAGTGACTGGTGAGTTGGAAACACCCACCTTTTGGTTAAGCAGCCAAATGCTTTAACCACTACACCACCAGATCTTTTTCAAACCTAATATCTTCCAAAAAGTATTCTGGCAGATAGGTCGTATGTAATGTATGTGGTATCCACCCTTAAAGAATCTATAAGGCATGGGTCCTCAACCCTGCCTCATATTCAAATTTTGTGGGAAGTTTTTTAAAAAATGCATCTGTGTTACTTAAAAGCACCATGGGAGATGTGCAGCCAGAGTTGAGAACAAGTTCTGTGAGAAGAAATATCAGTAGAGAGCTGTGAATGTTGTAATACAAATACTGTCAGGTCCAGCGAAGTCTTCCTTGATGAGGATGTCCTTGAACTAGGCCTTGGTGAATGGGAAGGATTTTATTAAGGATGATGGCAGTGGGTGTGGAGAAGGATGTTGCTAGTAATCCTTAGAACTGCTGTTCCTGTTGTCGAGGGTTCTTTGATTGTTAAGGATGAAGCATTTTAAATAATGGTAGGTTGTTTTATAAAAATAAATGGTTATGAATATTCTATTTGATGTCACTAATGACTTTTTTATTGTTCTCTTTCTACCAGGTCTTCAATGAAATTTATCCAGTATGGACTTACTCTTATCTGGTGCTACTGTTTCCTGTGTTCCTTGCCACAGACTACCTCCGTTACAAACCTGTTGTTCTGCTGCAGGGATTCAGCCTTATTGTTACGTGGTTCATGCTGCTTTATGCCCAGGGACTGTTGGCCATTCAGTTCTTGGAATTCTTCTATGGCATTGCCACAGCTACTGAAATTGCCTATTACTCTTATATCTACAGTGTGGTAGACCTGGGCATGTACCAGAAAGTCACAAGTTACTGTAGAAGTGCAACCTTGGTGGGCTTCACAGTGGGCTCCATCCTGGGGCAAATCCTTGTCTCAGTGGTGGGCTGGTCCCTGTTCAGCCTGAATGTCATCTCTCTTACCTGTGTTTCTGTGGCTTTTGCTGTGGCCTGGTTTCTGCCCATGCCACAGAAGAGCCTTTTCTTTCACCATGTGCCATCCACTTGCCAGGCAGTGAATGGCATCAAAGTACAAAATGGTGGCATTGTTACTGACACCACAGCTGCTAACCACCTTCCTGGGTGGGAAGACATTGAGTCAAAAATCCCCCTAAATATGGAGGAGCCTCCCCCAGAGGAACTGGTAAGTTCAACTTAAGTCTTGGGTCAATACTTGGTTTTTACTCTGGGGACTGGACCAATAGTAGAAAAGTAGTCAGGAAGGTCCCTCTTGGTAGACCTTGTATCCGTTTGGATTAAGGTTCTATCCTGAGTTGATTGATTGATTCATTCAAGACATGGTTGTTTTATCTTTGTGATATCAAATATATGTTCTCCTGAAATGAGTGACCTCCAAAGTTAAACTAGCAAAACAATATATTGCTCATAACAGAGAGTTCTTGGATGACAAGCTTTTGTCTTCTTCCTCTTTATAATCACTGGTGTTTGGTGTATTAGGCTGGGTTCTCTAGAGAAGCAAAACCAGTAAAGCTTATATATACATATAGAGAAAGAGAAATTTATCTTCAGAAAATGGCTCACACACTTATAGAAGCTGGCAAGTCCCAAGTTCTTGGATCAAACGTCAAGCTGGAGGCTTTTCCTGACTCACACAGCTGCAGGGGCTGATGAGCTCAAGGTTGGCAGGCAGTATACTGGCTGTTGACTCCAACGAATGATGAATCCAGGATCTCCAGGCCGAATGGCGGATTGTTTACTCATGGACAGTTGTAGGCAGCACAATAGGCTCCCGATCCAAAGAAGAGTATCTCTTTTCCCAGGATGTCCATGAATATATTGGAAGCAGACCATACCTCCCTTTCAATGGATTGGCAGCTCAAAACATATACATCTGATCCCATTGTGGGAACAACCCACATCACAACTGCTTAAAGCACACAGAATTGTGGTCCAACCAAGTTGACACACAGCTCCAACTATCACACTTGGTATATAAAGAAAGCACTCAAATATTTTTTGCTAAATGAATAGGTGAAATGATTCCAATAAATAATCAATATCTACTTAATGTTTTTAGAATTGAAGCCCAAAGTATTTAAGGATAGGAAATTATTTTCTTCTTCTGTGCTGGAAGTGATTTCTGATAGCTATTTTGAAATGACTCTGTGCAGAAGTGGTAATGAATAATACAGAAGAAGAGAATCACAAGAGAAAAGTTTAAGATAATGATGGAATAAATATTAAAGGTGTGGCTATAAAGTTGTTTTTTGGAAGAGTGGGATGTGGTATCATCATAATTTATCCATCTATTCTATCTAGTGAGGAAGGTTAATTTTGTCTCCTCCAGCCATCTACCTTTTTTAATAGAAGTTTTTTTCCTATGAGATTATAAGCTGTGAGCAGCAAGGTTCATTCCAACCATGCTGAAGTAGTATCAGCTTTCCTGGGACATGTTTGGAAATAAGCCTATTAACATTCCAGCTTTGAGGCAAGGTCAATCAGACATAAAGCTCCGTAAGCTTTGTAGGTTGGGTGAGACTAAAGAACAACCATGAATACAGTCTTTGACTCACACTGGAGTTAACCCAAAATGTTTGAACTTGGCATTTAATGTCCTCATTGAAAATTAGCTCTTTTGACTGTCCACAATCTTCACCTCTGGTTATTACTTAAAATTTAAGTTATCATCCCGAAGATCCATCGCTAGAACCGGGATGAGCCTCATCATGAAAGCACCTTGATTACCAGGCACCTGAGGGTACTTTGGTCAAAATGATCAAGGATCAGTGAGCAATGAAATGCTGATGCTTTCATATTTTGTCAGGTGATGTTGGAAAGTCAACAGAGAGTTGATAGGGTAGGGAAGGGGAAGTATGATCATTTAATAGATCTCATGTAACAGAAAAAAGAAAAATCAGGACCCTTTTGGATCTGTTTCAAATGTGTTATAATGGCTTTACCTAACAAATATAGATACACACATGTATTTGTACACATATATGTATAAATATTATTTTTAAAAAAAACACCAAACTCACTGCCATCAAGTCAAATCTGACTCATAGTGACCACTCCTTGGGTTTCTGAAGTGGTATCTCTATGGAAGTAGATTGCCCCATCTTCCTTCCGAGGAGTGGCTGGTGGGTTTGAACCGCCATCCTTCTGGTTAGCAGTCAAGTGCCTTAGGCACTATGACACCAGAGCTTCCATAAATATCTGTACATTTATATATTTTAACTGTTAACATCTTGTCAATAGCTCTAAAGACTTTCATAGACCAGTGCTTTTCAGGCTTTTTGAACATGACCTATAGTACAAAAGTAAAAGAACTAACAAATCTGTCCTGGAGGAAAGCTCCTTGGAAGCAAGAATGGCTAGACTTCGTCTCACCTACTTTGGTCATGTTATTGGTAGGGACCATTCCATGGAGAAGGATGTCATGCTTGGTAAGGTGAAGGATCGAAGAAAGAGGGGAAGGCCCTCTACGAGATGGATTGACACAGTGGCTGCAGTGATGGGCTCCAGTCTAGCAGGGATTGCGGAGCTGGCGTGGCACTGGCTGGTGTTTCGTTCTGCTGTGCATAGGGTCACTATGAGTCGAAGATGACTTGATGGCACCTAACAACAACAACATAGTACAAAATATGTTTTACAAAGCAACTAATATCTGTATACCCACCAAACCCACTGCTATTGAGTTGATTCCAATTCATAGTAACCCTATAGGAAAGGATGGAACTACCCTATAAGATTTCTAAGGCTGTAAATCTTTATAGAAGCAAACTGCCATATCTTTCTCCTACGGAACAGCTGGTAGGTTTGAAATGCTGACCTTTTGGTTAGTAATAGGGTGTTTTAACCAATGTGCAATCAAGGCTCCTCAGGATGTAAATAGGTGTGTGTAAATTTTATATGTAACTGAAACAAAAGTTTTACAACACAATACTTTATTTTGATCTATTTGTTTATTTTTTTTGAATGCTCGTTATTATCTATTAAATTGATTTTATTACTTCCTAACAAAGCTATATTGTGACCTATAGTTTACAAAGCTTTGTCCTAGACCAACTTGAAATGTATTATTTATATATATGTGGAGTATTAGTATTTAACATACTGAAGAATTGTAAAATTTTAGTGTTAGAAGTGGTTCTCACCACTGGTTATGGCATCTTAAAGTTTGAAGGAACTTTAGATCTCAGCAGCTCTTTTCTTTTGGATATAAGGCTATTGAGCTCAGAGATTAGTCAGATTATATGAAATTGACTTGTCTTTATGTTTTGCTCCATATAGTCTTACTAGGATGGCAGCATTGTCAGGATTGTCATAATAGCTGCAGTGTGGTCAAAATCGTCCTTGGCTGTGCTGCTGTCACCATAGCAGGCAAGCAGAACTACTTGGCAGCTAACTGGCCCTAAAATGCTGCTGTTTAGTATTTTTATTTTTATTTTTTGCAAGCTTGAAAAAAAGTCAGTACATGGATATTGGGGCTCATGGGGTGATTTTAAGCTGAAGCCCATAAAAATTATAATTGTGGTAATTATGGTAAAGTAAAGTAGGTAGGTAGGTGAGTAGTATTATCTTGATTTTATAACAAGGAAAAAATGAAGTAGGAGGAGTCAAAGTAATAGCCATAGTCCACAAGTTGCTAAAAGTATATGTGACTTTTTTTAGAGAGAGCCTATTGCTTTGGGACTAGGGGAGTTGCTATTGCAGGAAGCAGAACCACCAAAACCAATGATTTTTTTCCCCAAACACGGAAATGAAGTCATTATGTGTTTGGCATGTTGCTGGATCTAATTTGTTTTGAATTGTTACTCTGTTAGAAATGATGTAAATTAAAGTACTTCTTTGGCACAGGGCCTAGCATATAATTAATAAATGATATCTGTTAAAATGGAAATACTTTTCATTGTAGACTGACACCTTTTACTATTAGCAAGCAATCTTTGTGTATATGTGTGTTTGAATTCTATTCATGTAATAGAGACTATACTATCTACTCCTTGGGAGTTATTTTAAGTACTAAGTGAGGCAATATAAAGCTTTCAATTGAGCATAACGATGATTGTTAGTATTATTATTATCATTATAAAACATGAATAACCAAAAACAGCTTTATGCCTTCACTATAGATAGTTATTTATTTGGGAGGCTGTAAATAATTTTTCTTTTTCCCTTTGAGTTAGTTACCCTTTTCTGGTGGCACAGTGCCTAACACACTTGACTGCTAACCAGAAGGCTGGAGGTTCAAACCCACCAGCCACTCCTCAGAAGGAAGGTTGGACAATCTACTTCCGTAGTGATACTGCCTCGGAAACCCAAGGAGGAGTTGCTGTGAGTTGGATTCAACTCAACGGCAGTTGTTGCATTTTTTTTTTTTTTTTTGCATTGGTCTTCTGGACTTTATGGAAGATATCACCATATCTAACATTAATCCTATCACTAATTCTCTGTCTTAAACTGAATCAGTCTGCTCTTCAATGTAGAGAGTGTTAAATCAGATGATCACTAAATTTTCCTTAACCCTTGAATTCTGAGTTTATTGAGCTAATTGGTGTGAAGACACTGTCTCTCTTCTGCTTCCCAGGTACAACAGTTTCTCCTGTCCTGCTTTTTTATTGTTAGTTGCCATCAAGTGGATTCTGACTCATGGTGACACCTTATGTGCAGAGTAGAACTGCCCCATAGAGCTTCCAAAGCTGTTTAGAAGCAGAATTCCAGGCCTGTCTTCCGAGGTACCTCTGGGTGGATTTGAACTGCCAGCCTTTCAAATAGTAGTCAAGTACTTAACTGTTTGCTCTACGCTAGGATTCTTAGCCTCCCATAAACATAAGAATGCATAATTAATGTCATTGTTACATAGAAGTGATTTAATTGCAACCATCAGCCTTGAATATTGTCCCAGTTTAGGTATTAGCCCTATTTATCCCTCCCCCTTTATTTTCCTATTTTATTTAGGAGAAAATCCAAAATTCTCATCATAGTCTGTGAGATCATGTGCAATCTGGCCCTGTGCCAGTTTTTTGGTCTGTATCTTCTACTAATGTGCTCTGCAAAGTGCTGGCCTAAAATACCTCAAGCTTATTCCTGCTTCAGAACTTGAATTAAGAGGACCCCTTAGTCAAGGCTGCCGTTCTAATTTTCTCATGGTTGGCTCCTTTATGTGAATTCATATCTCAG